TCTTTGGAATTAGAAGGATTCGAACTTGGAATCTGCTAGTAAAGAACAAAATAAATCTCCACCAAACTACCAATATCTCTTGTTAAGTTTGCTCCAAACTTTTATAATATAACAATAACAATATTAATTAGAGCTGACCCATTTTTCTCTCAATTATTGATTTACTTCATCGATTAATTGTTTATTACATATTTTAAAAATTCATAAATTCTCAGTCACTACATTCCCATCATCATCTTAACACCCTGCTCTATCTCCTTACCTCATACACCCTTATAGTTCCAGACTAAGATGTTTTTTATCATCATTAACACATCATAAAATTCCAACTAAATTGATTAAGCCAAGCGCATAACAGAGCTATTAAAATCCTCATTAGGAACTTCAGCTTTAACAAATTCCTCCTCTTCTATCGCATCATCATCTGGTGGTTTGCCATCCCTTTCACCAATAAACTTCCTCTTTTCTCCACTCACTTTATGCAAAACTAGTTGCATGTTCTGGTCAACATCTGTAAGAGGCTCCCTGTAAATACTCATAGAATTATTAGTCATATCAACCTCCTGATCTCCTTCATTCCTATTCATTGATATATCCTCCTTACTATGCTCCCCTTTTCCAATTCTTTCTCTTTGTTGAAACACAATTTTCATTTCTGCACTAGCCTTCAATTGCCTCTCCTTCTTCCATTCAACTGCCAACTCTTCCCATGTTCTATCATCCTTTAGAGACTTATGTTTGTATCTAGGCACATCTTCCTTAACACCATCATGCATCATCATTGTAGCAACTTTAGACCCCTCCTGAACCTCCTTAATATTTAATCCCTCAAACTTTGAACCCATAGGTCTACCCTTAAAACACAACCCTCTCCCTCTCTATTATCAAACCCCTGTCTCCTTCCTCTTCTCAGCTTCTGTGCCAAATTCCAAGGACCAAGAATTTCCTCCGAGCTTCTCCCCCCCACCCATACCCTCATTTCCAGAATCCCCTGCCACTTCCACATCCAATTTCTCTTTATAGTCTTTCTCAATGTGACCATGTTTACCACACCAATAACATAGTTGATGCAACTCCTCATATTCAACTATATATTCTCTTTTATCTATAATAAAACTAGGTAAGAGGGCCTTAGTAAGATCCACCTGCACCCTTATCCTCGCAAAGAGATATCTAATTTCACAGTATGCCCAATCCTATCACCAATAGCCACCAACAGTTCCTCATCATAATCATGCAAAGGTAAATCAGTAAGACGCACCCATACCAAAACATCTTCAATGGCCTCAGTCATCGAATTGAAATTGCTTCTCTACTCCCTCACTGTTAGATAACAATCAGCAATTAAACAAGGCCACTCACACAAAGCTCTCAGATAATCATCCCAACAAGACAATTTCACCACAAAGAAACTATTTCTTAAATCCACAACTGAGATAACTCCCAATTTTGCCCACATACTTTGTAGCTTGAGACCCAACCTGCGAACACCCATCCTCATACCTAGCAATTTCACAATCATGCTCAACTAGTGCACAAAGCCTACATTTCCCTCCTCAGAGATAATGAATTCTGGTATCTTCACTCCTCCTCTAACATGTTCAACAATAGTAATTCCTAAAGGCACTTTCTCCTTCTTCGATTCATCTCTTCCCTCCTTCTCCTCCCGATCTAAACCCTTCAGGCAATCCACATAAGAATCCTTCAAAACAGTCTCATTCCCATTGATCTTACTCTTCTTCATACTTCTCTGCAGGCAATCGTCCATCTCCACCACATTTCGTCCTCCTATCTTTAGCATTGAGAAGTCCTCCAGAGAGAGTCTATAAGTGTTTTAATCTAACAATCTATACACTGTAAAATTTTATTTTGATTTGTTGATTTCCTCACATGATCGTACTAGTTCCCTACCGCTTCCTTGTCTTCTACTTTTGCTTAATTGTTCTTGCCTTGTCTTCTTAATTTGTTGGGCGTGATTGTTCTAGTTTATCCGTTTTTGGCCATTGGATTGAAATCCATATAGCTTAGGCTTTCCAGATTGAGAGGAAGAAGAAAAGAAATTGATGTGGCAATGATAAAAGAAAAAGACTTCTGACATATCATGTACTCCTACATGGCCATCCAGCAAGGCATTTAACAATTAAATTTAATAAATTAACCGTCAATTAACAGTCAATTAATAGCGAGGGCAAAATGGTACTAAATTGAAAAACATTGGGGCAAAACTGCACTAGATAAAACTTTAAAATATGATAGGCGTACCTGGCTGAAAATATTGAGAGTAGATTTGTGCCTTTGATGCTTTATATTTGTATGAAAGAAGTAAAGGAACTTGAGATAACCTTACCTAATGTACGCACTTTGATGGTGACGCATGGTGGCTAGTTGCGAGGCTGGAAGAGAAGACGCCCTCTAAATTTGACGACAAATTGAAGCAGTCCTGATCAAAAGTGATAACGAAGAAACTAAAAACCAGAAAAATTTTGTCCTTCTGGCGGCGATAGTAATAAATTTCTATTATTTACATTACCACCCCATCTTTCTGTCAAATGATGATTTAAAAAGCAATAAATAAATAGTTACATGACTCGCTCTTCTTGTTTTAGATACACACACACACTTTCTACCTTTTCCAACTCTCAAAGTACAAAATTAGTAAATTATATTCAGCAAAAAAAGAAAGAAAGAAAAAAAAATTTTAATAAATTGAATGCAACTTTTTCCTAAGTATGATGATACTCTGAACCTAGAAAAGCTGCATTGCTAATTGCGGTTCACACTCTTTTCAGTAATAATCTAGTATCTTAATTTTACTGAAGGCATCAAGTACATACTAAACTAGATTTTAGACGCGTTCATGGCATGGGAAATTTAATCCTCTATTTAGTTTGGGAAGAATGAAAAGAAATAAGATTCTAATTAATTAAATTTTTAGAAATAAACAATTAGAATTGTAAAGTTTTAATAGAGAGAAGATCCAAAATGAAAGAATAAGAAAAATGAATTACAAACTTTTAATCTCACTTCTATATTTTTTTTAAAAAATCCAAGTCTCTAAAATCCACCCCCCATTCCCTTAAATCAAATAGAGTGTCAGAACTAAAAAATAACATATTTAATAAATATTAATTTGAAAATTTTAAAAACAATAGTAATTGTGTCTAAAATATGGTAAGTATTTTCATTTTAAAAACTTGATAGCACATTGTATTGTAAATTCTAAATTTTATTATATATGAACATGTTAAAAATTGAAAACTATAAATGACTCCAAAATTTATCACCCATGCTTATTTCATTTAAAAATGTATTACCTCAATTATATTTTAACAAAAGGTAAAAGAACAAATTAGCCCCTACATTATAAGTTCAGGAACATCTAGGATCTTAAATTTATTTTTGATATAATATTCTCCTTCAACTTTTAAAAATAGTGCAACCTAATCCCTATTATCAACAAAAGTAAACTTTGACCTTTGGTTGATCAGAAATTACAAAAATGATCTCAAAAATTATAAAAAATAAAGGACCAATAAATTTTTCTTAGTTCCTTTTTTGTAATTTTTGGTTCCTTATATATAATTTTTTAGTCTTTTACTATATATTTTTGTCCTCTTCCATAATTTTTTTATTATTTTCTAACCAACTAACTGTCAAAGTTAACTTTTTGTTAATAGAAAGGGTTGATTGCACAATTTTCAAAATTTAAAAGAAAATATTGTATCAAAAATAAATTAAGGATCTCAGGCACTCCTAGAAATATAATTTAAGAACAAATTTTCTCTTTTATCCTTTAACAAATTTTTTTAAAAAAAATATTTTTTAAATGTAATGTCATCTGTAATTTTACTTTTTTAAATAACTAATTTATTAATGTAGACTAAAATAAGAGTTTGGTCCAAGGGTATTGTAGTTCTGGACCAACTTTACAATACAGAAAGAAGATTGGAGAAAAATTTATGCAAGTAATGAGATTCAAACATTGTACAAGGGTATTAAAGGGATTACAATAGTGAAAAACTTGTAATTTAATATTAAACCGTCACATGATGATTACCAGAAATCGCAACCTCACCGAATTTTAAAAAAAAAAAAATTCACATCATGAGGACCCCACAATAATAAAGAACAAACTGGATTTTAACACTGCAAAAGGAGATCACGGAAATTACACTGTACAAAGAACATTGGAAAAAATGCCCTTTACAAAATGTAAGATTATATAAAATTTTATGCACAATTTTTATGAGAATTTGTTACATTATGTCATTATCAACGTTGTTTCCAGAATACTCCAAAGAGCTCACCAAACTTGACCCTCGAATGTATGAAATCTGAATGGAATCGATTATGGTCATCCAAAACTCAGACTACGAGCAACTTGGTTAATTGCACTATTTGCACGCAGGTGCCTAGTTACAATTTATACTATATTATATCTGTGGTAGGTGTGTTTGTTAAAAATTAAATTAAATTAAAATCTTTCTCTATCTCTAAAATTTTGCTGGTTATATTTATAAATTACTTTCAGGTTTTGATATATTGTACTAGAATATAATTAAGGAAAATTTTAAAATTTATTAACTCTATTTAAAAATTTAGTAATTTCTAACTTTGCTCCTAGTAAAAAATATACATAATTTGATAATTTACTTTTCTTATTAACATTAATAGGATTAAAAATAAAATAAATTTGTTTATCAACTAGATATGAACTATATACTATATTGATTTATAAAAATATTTTTTTATTGATGGGTGATGAGTATTGACTTGAATCGATTATGGTCATCCAATGAATTTATTCCTTTTTCTGAGAATTAATTAACTATATATGAAAGTTCATGCTGCTTTCAATTTCAAACCGCGAGCAACTTGGCGTTAAATTATTTGCACACCGAGCTTGACCCTTGACTTGCTTTTTCGGATTTTTTGAGAAGTATAAAAAATGAAGCGTGAGGATACCTTATGCTCAATACTCGCAATTTTGTTAAGTCCGAGCAATTTTGTTAAGTCCGATTTACTAACATGGGAGAACTTGCTTCCTTTGTTTTTGTTCTCTTACTTCATTGCTTCATGGCCTCCTTAGCTTGGAGTAGTGAGACAAATATCACCACCGACACATCAGCACTTCTTGCTTTTAAATCCATTATCACTTCAGATCCATATGATTTCTTAGCTAATTGGTCTGTCTCCTCTTCTCCATGCAATTGGGTTGGTGTCACTTGCAATACTCGCCATGGAAGGATTCATTCTTTAAATCTTGGAGATATGGGTCTTACAGGCATGATATCTCCAAAATTAGGAAATCTCTCATTCCTTGTTGAACTTAATCTTGGTGACAACAACTTTCATGGTGAAATGCCAAAAGAGTTAGTTCAATTGCGAAGATTGAAACAACTCAACCTGAGCTTTAATGAATTCCATGGAGAGGTTCCAGCATGGATAGGGGAGTTGTCAACACTACAACACTTGAGCCTTCGCAATAATAGTTTTAGTGGATTCATTCCAATGTCTATATTCAACTTGTCAAGGTTGGAGATCTTAAATTGGAATTTTAATTTAATTGAAGGCACCATTCCACCTGAGGTGGGAAGACTTGAGAACTTAGAGATTTTACGTCTTGCTGGTAACAAACTTTCAGGTATCATTTCCCAAACAATTTCCATCTCATTTTCACTTAAAATATTGAGTTTGTCTTACAACACTTTCTCAGGTATGCCTTTAATGATTTGTAAGATCTATATTTTTTTGTGCTATACTAAACTATTTGGTTAGTATTACAATTCCTTATATTGAGTTTTAATTAATGGAGATTTGCATTTGAATTTAGATTTGGGCTATTCACTTGGATGCATAAAAATCAATGAATTTTAATTATAAGTCCTTTATAATTTAAAATTTTTTCTAAACCCCTACTTATTTGAAATTTCAGCCACTCCAACCCTCTTGTTCTTTTCATATTTCACTGTTAATGCTTTTGTCAATCTTACCTCTTCTCTAATCCCTTGTTCTTGTCTCTCATCAATTGAAAAATATAAGATTTTGTTTTCATTCTTTCGTTTTCACTTTGAATCTCAATTCGCCTATCTTTTTCCTTTAAAATTTTTTGCTTTATCCAAAACAAAATTTAAAATATATGAATTTTAAATGTGAGATTTAAGTTTAAAATTCAAATATGAAACTATAAATGCAAATGCCACAAGGAAAATGAAAGTTTTTTGTTTCCTTTTTTAGGAAACTTAATTATTTTTTAGATTAGTTATTCAATTTTCTCAATGATAGCTCTAGTGGATTTATTCCACCATCTATATCCAATCTATTCTATTGAGGTTAGCAATCTTGAATGGAAATTATAATTCACGTGAAGGGACCATTCCACTTGAGGTGGGAAGACTTAGAAGCTTGAAGGCCTTATATCTTGAAGGCAATAGACTTTCAGGAATCATTCCTCAAACAATTTTCAACTTATCTTCACTTGAATTGTTAAATTTGTCGAAGAATTATTTGTCACGTATGTACAGTTTATGTATGTTTTTTTTCCTCTGGAAAAGTCTGTTGATGATATTTTACCCTAAGGATAGTGAAAGAATTTTCTTTTAACCTTTTGGCAGCTCATTTTTTTTTCTTGGATAAATTTGGCAACTCATCAGCTTTTATTGTTTCTCAATAAATCAATATAACAATCTCTGGAATTGCTTCTTCTTTTTCTTTTTTCCTTAACTTTGTCTTCAGAACATTTTCCAACAGTTAGTTCAATCAGATTGGGAAGGTCATTAATGGTTCTTTGAAAGTGAATGTAATTTTTTTTTATCATTTAAAATTTTTCAACTGTTGTTTTTAAAAATGAGGCAATATAAGTTTATCTCCAGCTCCTATCATGATCAACTCATGATGCGCATGCATGCGTGCTATAAAGTTTGATATGGACTCTTCTTTGTTTTTTTCTTTTTTCTTTTTTTCTTTTGAAGGAGGCATTCCCAATGAAATTGGCAATCTTCCACAGCTACAAATGATATATCTCTCAAACAATCAGCTTCTGGTTCCATACCATTCTCATTATTTAATAGTTCAATGCTTCAAGTCATTGAGCTTAATTATAATAATCTCTCTGGGAGTCTCCCAACAAAAAATGTGTTTGGGCTTCCGAAACTTGAAAAATTTCAGGTGTTTGCAAATGATTTATCCGGTGAAATACCTTCCGTTTGGCACCAATGCAAGGAATTGATAGATTTGTCATTATCAAATAATGGATTCAACAAAGGATATATACCAAATGATATTGGAAATTTGACCAACCTCCAATTTCCTATATCTTGACAACAACAATTTGGAAGGTATGATTTTGTTTTTTTTTTTTTGGCATATCCATCATATGTTAGTGTTTATCTTTTGTGTGTGTGTGTGTGTGTGTGTGTTTTTAGCATTAAAAATCATCAATAATGTCAAAGATTTGTAACTATAAATTAATATGACGTTTTTGTTTACCTCAAAATTGTAAACAGGTGAAATTCCATCATCTCTCTTCAATATCCATTCTTTAAGAGAATAAGTTTATGGGGGGAAACAATTTAGCTGGTACTCTTCCAATATCAATTGCCAATTGGACGTTGTTGGAATACTTAGATTTAAGTCATAATTCCTTCACAGGTGGGCTCAATATCTGTTCATCCATTAAATTATGCTTTTACAAATTTCATTTCTTCTTTGCATGGTTGTTGTTTGTGAATGAAAGAGCTTTTTTCATATTGTCTACAAAAATTAACTCAAAATACTTTAATTCATTTAGTATAAATAGGAATTCTTGCACACCTGATATATACTCTCTCCTATCCTTGTTATAAGAGTACTATTGTGTTCTCAATTTTTTTATTTCTAAAGCTATTTGTGTATGCAATATTTTTGCCTGACCTTGTACTTTTTACGTGTCTACAGCTTCAGGTTTGACTTTCAACATCATTTTTATCATGCCATATTAGATTTTTTGTATTAACAATGTTTTAGTCTTGTCTTTTTATGCCAAATAACGTAGCTATATAATAGGACTCTAGCTTTATGCATCATTAATTAACTTCCATAAATTGTGTATTTTTTATAGGTGAAATCCAAACTTCTATTTAACATGCCTTCTTTGACAATTGTTGACCTTCCAAGAACAATTTTATATGGTAATATGCCAGAAGAGATGTGCCGTCAATTCTCTTTCCTTAAAAATCTTCTCAGTTGCTGAGAATCAATTAGAGGGAAAATTTCAAAATCAATAAGTAATTGCACATCTTTAAAATGGTTGAACTTTCCCACAATCATTTTTATGGTAATCTACCAGAAGAGATGTGCCAAAGACTCCCATTACTTGAAGCCATCCAGATCGTTGATAATAAATTAGAAGGAAGCATTCCAGAAATCATTAAGTAACTGCACATCTTTAACAAGATTATTTTTTGGATGTCAACTCATTTACAGGTATGCCCTTTTACTCTTGGAATATATGTCAACTCATAATTTTATTCAAACATGAAAATGTGCAAATAAATAAAGTAAACTTCAAAATTAACTTCAAATTCTTAATTATACCATGTAGTAATTTAATTATTACTACAGACAGGCCAGTTAATAAGAAACAAGTAATACTTAAAATTTAAGTATCACTTTTTTTTTATAAATAGACTAGGATTGTAGCAGTATAACAATAAAATTTCAGACATAGATTACACCATAGTGTTGTCACTTTATTTATGATATGTTTGGATTAACGAGGATATTGGATTTGAACTAAATCTCTTATTTAAATATACAAAAATTTACAAAAATCATTTCATATTATAATTCCTTTAATTTATAATTCAAATTCCCTTTACACTTAGTCATTTGAAATTTAAGCTACTTCAAACCTCTTATTATCTTCAAGTTTTTATATTTACACCTCTATAACCCTAATCTTTTCTCATTTTTCGTTATTGCCTCTCATCAACTGAAATAAATTTTCTATTTTCATTTGAATCTCAATTCATTTCTTTTTTTCATTTGAAATTTTTTTAACTACCCAAGAAAATGATTTATTAAATGTGAGTTTTGAAGTGTGAGATTTTAAATCTAAATTTAAATCTAAATTCCACCAATCCAAATGTTACCTTAATGTTTTTTGAGGTCATATATGACTTTTTTTTCCTTTACTTTTGCTAGTCCAGGCTCTTAAAGCAATTATCTCAACATTCTGTATTTCCAGGTTTTATACCCAAGGGCATAGGAAATCTTGCTAAACTTCAAGAGTTAGCTTTGGCAGATATTATTTGCATGGGCCTATACCTTCCACCATATTCAACATCTCATCATTGATACATGTGTACCTTGGAACTAACTTCCTCTCTGGCCTTTTGCCATCATATCTAGGAAGTGGCCTTCCCAACCTAAACTTATTGAGTTTGGAGGGAAATGAACTTACTGGACAAATTCCCAACAGTATCTCAAATGCTTCTAAGCTCACTGAGTTAGTTTTAGCATCAAATAAATTTAGTGGAGCTATACCCATTTACTTGGGAATTAACCAATTTGATGACAATGGAATTTGGTTGGAATAACTTCAATGGGTTGATTCCTACTGCAATCAACAAACTACAAAGCCTTCAATATTTAAGTCTCTATTACATAGAATGCAAGGGTCTATCATTGATGAAATTTGTCACTCAAAAGTTTAAGTGAGTTGGATCTAGCTGGCAACATGTTTACAGGAATGATCCCCGCATGTCTTGGGAATCTATCTTCTTTGAGAAAGTTGGATTTCAGCTCTAACAAATTGATTTCTCATATTCCCTCCTCATTTTGGAGTCTTGAAATATCATGGAATTAGATTTGTCCTCCAATACATTGAGTGGAACAATTCCACTTGAGATTTCAAACATGAGGGCACTTACACTCTTGAATTTATCAAGAAATCAAATTTCAGGAAACATCCCTGAATCTATGGGTGGCTTGAAGACTTTGTTGAACCTATCTTTGGCTCACAACAAATTCCAGGGGCCTATTCCTAAATCACTTGGTGGCATGATAAGTATTGAGTTCTTGGATCTTTCTCAAAATTATTTGTCTGGTGTGATTCCAAAGTCCTTAGAGTCTCTTGTCTATATGAAGTACATTAACCTTTCCTACAATTTCTTATATGGAGAAATTCCAAATGGTGGGCCTTTCCAAATTTTACAGCTGAATCTTTTATGATGAATGAAAATCTTTGTGGAAGGCCCCAACTTCATATCCAACCATGTAGAAAAGAAAACAAGCATAGGTCAAATAAAGTGATGCTTTTGATCATATGCTTGGTGCCTATAATAGTTTTCATTTTGGTTGTTTCATGCATAGTCTTTCTAAGCATAAGAGAAAACATGCTAATGATTCAACCGATGCGGTTTTAATGAATTGTGAGATACCAATAAGAATATCCTATTATGAATTCTACAAGGAACAAATAGGTTTGATGAAAGTAATCTCTTGGAAGGGGAAGTTTTGGATCAGTATACAAAGCAACATTGTCAAATGGAAAGACAGTTGCTATTAAAATATTTAACTTTGACTTGGAAGAGGCATGGAAAGTTTTGATACAGAATGGCACTGCCATATGCAATTTACGTCACCGCAATCTCATCAGCATCATAAGCAGCTGCTCTAATGATAATTTTAAATCATAATCATGGAGTTTATGTCAAATGGAAGTCTTAATAAATGGTTGTACTCTCATAACTATTGCTTGGATATTTTCAAAGATTGAATATAATGATTGATGTGGCTTCAGCACTAGAATATCTTCATAGTGGTTCCTCTACACCAGTGGTTCATTGTGATGTGAAGCCAAGCAATGTTTTATTGGATGAAAATATGGTGGCACATCTCAGTGATTTTGGTATTGCCAAATTATTAGGTGACACAGAATCAGAAATTTACACCAAGACTTTGGCTACAATTGGCTATATGGCACCAGGTGATTATTATCAATCATATTATAGCTTTTAAACTTATATTTTATTATGAAAATTATTCATAAAGCTTATATAGTATTTGTTTCTCTCTAGGCAGCTCTCTTCTTTTTTAACATGAGTGGACATTTTTTCCTTAACATTCAATTTGACATGTAGAGTATGGATCAAAAGGAGCTATTTCTAGTAAAGGAGATGTGTATAGTTATGGCATTTTGCTCATGGAAATGCTGACGAGGAAAAATCCAACAGATGACCTGTTTAATGAAAGTCTAAGTTTGAAGGATTGGGTTAGCAAATCAACTCCTCATTCAATAATCAACATTTTAGATGTCATTTGCTGCAAGGAGACAATCAAAATATTGGCAAAATATTGTCACATGTGTCATCAATATTGAGTTGGCCTTGATTGTTGTGCTGATTTACCGGAGACACGAATTATATGACAGATGTTGTAGTATTCTTGAAAAAACTTAAGGTCTCATTTTTTAAAAATGTTAGAGCCGCACTGGTTGAGTAATTGTGAGATCAAAATTCCAGTTATTGTTTATTACCCCTTTTAGTTCTTCTTGTTGGACATGTAGACTTGTAATTCAGAACGTGGATGTTTAGTATTATTTGAACCGACTTTGTTTGATTGAAACGTTTCGTGAATTTTTGTTCTCTGCTTTACCTACTTAATTTTGTATCTAGTCTATCATCAATTTTAATAATCGATGGAATTTTCTTCCTTTATCTTGTGAGAAACCTATTAAATAAATAATGATAAGTTCCGTAAAATGAAATGAAAAACTAATTAAGAACACACATTGGAACTAGATCTGGAAATGCTAAACATAATTTCACTAATATATTTGATATATGATGTAGGTCTTAATTTATATGGATTATCTATTTTCAAATTAATTGAATGTACATTGGTGTAAATTTTTTTCGGGAAAAAAATAAATTAAGAAAGAAGAAAGTATATGTATACACCACAAAATTATGCTTACAGATTTCTCAAGAAACTACTCATCTGGTGCTGGAAGTTTCAATTTCGCTTAAGAGCAATACAAACAATTAATATGGGGTTCACTTGAATGAGATCAATGTGTTCTATTTGAAGTTTTTGACAAAGAAAAAAAAAAGTGATCCCATATGAACAAGTTTTTCTTAACCACTAGTTTATCTAAGTAAATCGTTTAAATGTTGGTCCACACTGTGAAATACATATTATATCTTATGTTAATTGCAAAGAAACAATGACAATAGTGTTCTATATCTAAGTTTATATGATGTGGTAGCAACAAGAAAATAAAGACAACAAAAAAGAAAGATGAGATGAGAAAATAAACTTGCGATTAATAATAAAAGAATCAATTGGCCAAAGAATGTGTTATAATGTAATACTTTTCATGTATGAAATTATCATTAAAGATATACCCATTCATTTGATGAGGTAATATTTTTAGTATTAATGATGTATTTTGAAACTTGCCCATACTTGAATTATTATTCTCTCTCTCTCACACACACCACACACACAATTGAATATGCAATATTTCAAAAGTTTAGAATCATATTCTAAGCAGAGATGAGATATATATGCAATATTTGGTCTAGTTTCTTCCTAGAATTAACAACTTAGAGTAGATGTTTTCTAGATATTTGTATTGAAAATGTAGATTTTTAGTTGATATATTTGTACCGGTCCCTGGAACTACTGTTTATATAGTTATACAAGTTTTGTAAGCAAGGGATGTGAAGCATACTTAGAGTGGTTGTTTTGAAAAAAATAGGAATTACAGCCACAATTTACCATAACTGTAGTTATAATGTTATTAGGACATTATGTTTAGTTTAAAGTTTTGATAATGACCAATAAAAAAAAAAAATTAGTTAACTATACTTATGTCTAATTATTTTTATATATATAATAGTTAACTACAATCATAAAATAAGTTCTTTAAAATGAACTCTCACACTATTGTTTAGATATCATGCAAAGGTTGGATATAATTATTGATGTGGCCGCTACATTAGAATATCTTTATCATGGTTCTTCAACACTAGTTGTTCAGTGTGATGCTAAACGAAGCAATATTCTGTTGGATGAGGATATGGTAGTGCTCATCTTAGTGATTTTGTTATTACCAAGCTTTTTGGTCAAAGACAGTTGAAAATTTATATCAAAACTTTGCTACAATCGGCTATATGGCTCCAGCTGATGATTTAATATTGATATCTTGGTTTTATTTAATTTAATTTTGTTTGTTTCCTTGTAAACATTTATATGATTTGACTACTAACAAATATCTGCCATTATCACATATGAAGAGTAATGATATAAAAGAAACATTTAGCAATATATATTATATATATTTACATAATGTGCTACATACTAATAACCATTCAACTTGACCTAGTAGAGTATGGATCAAGAGTAGTTTTCCTTGAAAGGGGAGATGTTTATAGTTTATGCTATTTTGTTCATGGAAATGTTTACAAGGAAGAGCCAACTGATGATATGTTTCTCAAGCTCTAAGTTTGAAAGATTGGGTTGGCAACTCATCACCACATTCAATCACCAAATTCTAGATGCTAATTTTGCTCATGGGGACAATCAAATATTGATAATATATTACCAATATATCATCAATTTTGAGTTGTCCTTGAATTGTTGCAATGATTTACCTGTGGCACGTCTTAATATAGCAGATATAGTGGCCTCGTTGAAAAAAAAAAAAATAGGACAAAATTTCCACAAACGTTAGTGGCACAAATAGTTGAACATAATGGCTGTTAAACCAACATTGTAGTTACTATTACTTCAACCTTTTGGGTTGTTTTATTGTTAATCACATGTAAAATCTTGTAAAAGAAATTATGATATATTTTCTGCATCAATATATGTAGTGAGTTAAATTTTGAGAGAATTCAAATTTAACTACATGTATTTTGGATATCTTCCATAATGTACCTATACCAAATGAGGATGAAATGTGATGAGTGGGTAAAGTGAGGAGAAAAATATCATTTCCATGAATTTGTTTCAAAGATTCTTTTATTTTATTTAATCATTATTTTTTTCCATAAGCATATCTTATTAAAGAAATTTGGCAACATTATTACCACTTCAGTGGAATGGGAAGGAAGGATCCTCCACTGCTACAAAGTGGATGTCCTTACAAAAGAATAACTTTAATTATACGCACGCACGCAAGCATATATCTAATTATATATATGAACTTAATGCCAGATTATGAAAATTTTGCTAGATATGATGTACCATCACATTTTCCTATCGTCAGTGTCTATAATGTATCCATGTGTGCCGGAAGTAATAAAGGTTATGGAAAAGCAACATCCTTTAGAGACCTAATTATCATGAAGGATTGGACTGTCACTCTTGATTGACCAACACCTTTAGAAAAAGCAAACAATTATGCAGACGGACTTGCTTACCAAACAGTCCTTAATAGTCGGGATACTGCTATCTTAAATTATTCTCTTTAGAGAGCAGGGAATTTTTGCTTTTCGACCTTAACTAATTTGTATTTCCTCTTCTATGATTTAACCTTGGTCATGTTATTCCCCAAAAAAAAAAAGGACTGGCAATTTTTTTAATAAAAAGGCCACGATAAACGGTGCAAAGTACAATAATAAGTCATATCATAGCTTAAAAAGACTCCCACATCTTACAAGTGGGTTAACAAAAATTGTAGAGTGAAAATTTGTGCTCGAAACCTGATGAGCAAGCCA